GAGGAGGAGGAGGAGGAGGAGGAGGAGGAGGAGGAGGAGGAGGAGGAGGAGGAGGACGAGGAGGAGGAGGAGGTCCATTGCCACTTGCCAGAGGCGCTGTGGATCTGCCCTGGTTCGGAGGAGTGGCGGGCGCGCTGCGCCGAGCAGCTCCGCGCGGCGCTGCCGGCTGACGGCGCGGCCCTGGTGGAGAGTGCCGCCGGCGCGGTGATGCTCGGCGCCGCTGAGGGCGCCGCTGTCGAGCTTAGGCGTCGGGGAATGCCAAAAAATCATGTCGGAAGGTTTTTCTGTATGTTCGTCCTTTGTCGGGAAACGTAAGACTCGAGTATGCCAGGACTCGGGTTTGCCGAGGGTTTTTTGACGACCGCGCCTTGGATTTAGACGGTCCAGTTTTCGTGGGACGTCTGCAGCGGGAGCCCGCGTCAAATTTCAGATTGGGTCTCGTCATTTTCAGGATTTCCCCCGTCAGGCCATTCCGAGTCCCCCGTACCCGAGTCTTACGTCTCCCCGACTTTGGAGGGCCTTACAGGCCCTCGGAACCGTCAGACAACGACTTAGGATGAAAAACTGGTCCAGGTGAAGGGGTCGAGACCTCTGAGAGTCGGCGCTATGAAACAATCATGAGGTCGGGGGTCTGGGAAGTTGGGTCCCGAGTATCAGTTTCGTGTGGCCGATCTGCATCCCCAGTGGGCCATGGCTTCTCAGCCCCACCAGGCCCACCCCCCCGCCCAGGTGGGGATCGAGATTCGTCGAATCCCGAAGGGGAGCAGCACGGATCCCCATCCGAGGGGATCTGTGCTGTTCCAAGGACATGTCATTCCAGTGGGGCCAAGGACATGTCGTGCCAGTGGGATTGGGATAGGTTGGTGGATGCTCGCAGGGGCTGGCCCCCTGAGGGTCCTGGTGCGGGCTTCGAGGGCTGAGTCTGCATCGCCCAGCCCTCCCGTTAGGGCCCCATGCGTGCCTCAGGGCCGCAGCTTTGCTGTGCCGGAGGCGGCTGCACAGGGCCGGGCTGCCCGCACCCGCCGGGCTGCCGCCGCTGCTGCCCTCGCTGCTGGAGCGCTGCCTCGGCCTGCTGCGGGGGCCCCCAGACGCGTGGCGCCAGGCCGCCCGGCGCGCCCTCGACCCAGCGCAGCTGGCCGGCGGCCCCGCGGCCCGTTTCGAGTCCGCGCTGGTGCTGCACGTTGCTGCCCTCCGCTGCGGCCTCGCCAGCGGCCACGCCGCAGTGGTGCGGAGGGCTGCGCGCGAGGCGCGGGTCGTCGTCGTCGTCGTCGTCGTCGTCGTCGTCGTCGTCGTCGTCGTCGTCGTCGCCGTCGCCGTCGCCGTCGCCGTCGCCGTCGCCGTCGCCGTCGCCGTCGCCGTCGCCGTCGCCGTCGCCGTCGCCGTCGCCGTCGCCGTCGCCGTCGCTGTCGCCGTCGTCGTCGTCGTCGTCGTCGTCGTCGTCGTCGTCGTCGTCGTCGTCGTCGTCATCGTTGTCGTCGTCGTCGTCGTCGTGGTCGTGGTCGAGTTCTGGCTCGTGCTCTTGATCCTTCTCCTAACCTGGCCCCCGCTGCTGCTCCAGATCGTGCTCCTGTCCTGTTCTTGCATCTATCGAAGACGCCCACAGGGAATCACCGCCGCCCCCTGCCTGTGGAAATCGCACATGCCCAGAGGAGTGACGTCTTACGCAGACCACCAGGAGATCTCGCCATCCCTGTGGGGCTGCGATCTGCGAAACTGTCGGCACTTTGGAGGGCTGCTGGGGGGCCCAGTGAAGTGACGTCTTACCCAGATTCAGACGAGACCTCGCCATCCCTGCGGGGCTGCGATCTGTGAAGCTGTCGCCATTGTCAAGGGACTGCGGCGGCGCTCGACGAGGCGGTTCGCGTCTCGTCCCTGTCCGTGGGCTCTCGCCGCGGCCGTGCTGGAGAATTTGTGCTGCGAGAGCTCGAGGAGACAAAAGCTCTGCATCGCGGAAGGCAGCCTGGCTGATGCTGCTGTCTCCGGCTCGACCGTGCCTCCGCCGCCCCCGCCCGTCCCTCGCACGCAGCGCTTGCCTACTGCTCCCTCACTCGCTTGGCTGCGATCTGCGAAACTGTCGCCTTTTTAGAGGGCTGCTGGGGTGTCCAGCGGAGTGACGTCTGACGCGGACCACCAGGAGACCTCGCCATCCCTGGGGCTCAGCGGAGTGACGCCTTGTTCGGTTTCCTGTGGGTTGTTTCAGTTCTGGGGTCGCCAGAGTCCAGGCAAGGGTGCAAGGATAGCTTGTGAGGAGTCCAGAGGCGGCGGAGGAGGATCGGCGGAGGAGGAAGAAGAGGAGGCGGAGGAGGAGGAAGGGGAAGACGAGGAGGAGGATGAGGACGAACCAGAGGAGGAGGTCCGTCACGTGCTGCCGCGGCGGCGCCAGCGCGGTTCTTGTACTAAGTCTAAGCAGGTTTAGTAATTTTGTCGCGCTTCGCGGCGACATGGCGCAGGCAGTGCTGCATCTTGAGCGTGTTACCGACAAAAGCATTACTCCGACGGAAGGACCCCGCATGATAATCTGTTTAGCTTTCCCTTATCCCTTTCCTCCCGGCCATGGCAAACACCCTCGTATCGCCCTCTCCTCTGCCATTTTTTCCTCTTCTTCAATTTCCCCCCCCTCCTTCTCCTCCTCCTCCTCCTCCTCCTTCTCCACCTCCTCCTCATCATCGCCCTCCCCATACCCCTTCCGTCCTCATCCTCCTCCTGCCTCTTTTCCACGTGCACGTCCCTTTCCCCCCGGTCGGGGGAAGCAAGTCGATTTTCCTCGGCGCCGTCGCCGCCTCGGTCAGAACGCGCGCGTTTGCCGACGGCCAGATCGCGAAGCCGTCGGGTCAACCCTTCGGGCCAGCCATGCCTGCGGGGCACTCCCGCGGGCCGCCGGAGCGCGAGGGCAGGCCGTCGGGACAACCCCGCGGGCCAGGCCGTTGGGACAACCCCGCGGGCCTCCTCGCGCGCGCCGCGGCGCTCAGGCGGGCGGCAGCACGAAGCCCAGCTCTGCCGCGAGCTGCTCCGCTTCAGCCCTGGAGTCCACCGCTCTCTCGTCGAACTCCTGGAGCGCCTTCCGCAGTGACGCCGGCGGCCCGCGCTCCAGGAACTCTCGCGCGGGCGGCCGCAGGATCAGCATGTTCCGCATGCACGTGGCGCGGGAGAACATGACGTAGAGGTGCAGCCACCACATATCGTCCGACATGCCCGTGCGGCCAGCGTCCTCATCCCTGGCGCAGTCGATGGTGACGCCCTTGCGCAGCGTCTGGCCCTGCGACAGCGTGGAGGTCAGGTAGGACGCGTGCGTCAGCGTGAATCCCGAGCGGCGCACAGTGTGCGCCCCCGAGCTCTGCCACGTGAGCTCCTGCTCGCTGGGCCTGAACATGAGCAAGCTCCTCGCCCGCGCCTGGGCCTCGCCGTCGTCGTCAGCGCCCTCGGTGCCCTGCAGCAGCACCTCGGCGACCTCCTTGTAGATCGGGGACTCCTGGAAGCCGTGCACATGCAGCCAGATTCCCTGCGGTAGGAAGCGGGGGCGGAAGAGCTGGCCCGGCGCGCACTCCTCGTAGTCCCGCTCGTCGTCTGCGTGAAACTCGAAGGACACGATGGTGGCCCGTTGCTCCTGCACGAGCCCCAACTTCTTCTTCAGCTCCTCCTGCACGGCCGTGAACCGGACCTCCATGCCGACGTGTGCCGGTAAGACGCCGTGGATGTCCCCCGTCTTGTGCATGTTCGGGACGTTCAGGAGGCGCCGGCCTGCGTCTGGTTCGCCTTGAATCGTGCCGCACTCGTCTACGGCCTGCAGGAAAACGAGGGGGACGCCGAGGCGCCGCGCGTCGCGACGAGCGCGCGTGTTGATCCACCTCGCCAGCGTCTCCCAGTAGATGCCCATGCCGTAGCCGAGCCGAAAGTTCTCGTGCTGGTGCCGAGGGTCCAGGACGCCGTGGTTGTCAGAGGCCAACGTCTTCTCCCAGGCAGACCAGACCTCTGGTGGGAAGCGCTTGCCCTCGCGCATGCAGCCCAAGAGCGCGATCAGAGGGTCCCCCGGCTCGAAGCGCTTCGTGCCCTTCATCCCCCTATGGGGAAATTGCAAAATGTGCTGCTCGTCATCCGCAATCATCGATTTCAAAGCGTTTCGTGAGGGTTTTCCATCGAGCGCCCGCGCCAGGCTCAGCTCCGTTTCCGGCCAACGCGATTCCTCCCCCGACGCCCGAGAAAAAAATTGCGTTAGTGACCCCTTAGTCCATTGAAACATCGGTGTTAGGAAAAGGGGGGGTCAGAAAAAAACTGGAGAGGGGACCTTTTCAAGTTCCCTCTCCAGTTGGAACGCGCGGGAAAGTGAACCTTTGCAAGTTCCCTTTCCCGCTGCTGGAGAGGGAACCTTTTCAAGTTCCCTCTCCAGTTGGAACGCGCGGGGAAGTGAACCTTTGCAAGTTCCCTTTCCCGCTGCTGGAGAGTGAACCTTTGCAAGTTCCCTCTCCAAGGGAAAGTGAACCTTTTCAAGTTCCCTTTCCCGCGAATGAAGGGTGAACCTTTTCAAGTTCCCCCTTCACTCCGACGACAAGGGGGGACAGGGAACCTTTGCAAGTTCCCTCTCCCGCAGCTAGAGACGTCGAACCTTTTCAAGTTCCCTCTCCAGCCCAATCCTGCCACGAACGGGAAAGTGAACCTTTTCAAGTTCCCTCTCCCGCAGCTAGAGAGTGAACCTTTTCAAGTTCCCTCCCCAGCCCAAACGAACGCGGGAGAGTGAACCTTTTCAAGTTCCCTCTCCCGCCGACGACGACAAGGTTGGCCAGCAATTGGACGTGGGCAAGTCGAAAGAGAATATTCAGGCCGCAGGAGCGAGTTCCCCTTCGATCCTCCAAGTGACGACAAGAGACGGTCCTCAGACGGGACTACCCGCACCGCCCACAGACAAAGTTCCCGCTTGATACTTCCCCCTTGTTCAGGCCGCAGGAACTGAGGAGCCCAAAAAGCTCGCTCGGATGACCCGCTCGGGTTCGAACATGAAGTGCGTGCCCCACAGGGATGGAGCGCCCGCCTGATACTTCTCCCATATTCAGGCCTCAGGAGCCCAAAAGCGACGACAGTTACAGGTTTCCGATGACCCGCTCGGATTAGTAAGATGATCTGCGGGCCCCATAGGGAGGGGGCTTCCGCCTGAGACTTCCTCGCAAGTCACTCACAGACGAGGCTCCCGCCTGATCCTTCTCCCATATTCAGGCCTCAAGAGCCCAAAAGTGACGACAGTTACAAGATTCCGATGGCCCGCCTCGGATTAGTAACATGATCTGGGGGCCCCATAGGGAGGAGACCCCCGCCTGAGACTTCCTCGCAATTCACTCACAGACGAGGCTCCCGCCTGATACTTCCTCCAAATTCACGCCCCAGGAACCCAAAAGTGACGACAGTTACAGGATCCCGATGACCCGCCTCGGATTGGTAAGATGATCTGCGGGCCCCATAGAGAGAGGCTTCCGCCTGAGATTTCCTCGCAATTCACTCACAGACAACGCTCCCGCCTGATACTTCCTCCAGATTCACGCCCCAGGAGCCCAAAAGTGACGACAGTTACAGGATCCCAATGACCCGCCTCGGATTAGTAAGATGATCTGCGGGCCCCATAGGGAGAGGCTCCCGCCTGAGACTTCCTCGCAATTCACTCACAGACGACGCTCCCGCCTGATACTTCCTCCAAATTCACGCCCCGGGAGCCCAAAAGTCACGACAGTTACAGGATCCCGATGACCCGCCTCGGATTAGTAAGATGATCTGCGGGCCCCATAGGGAGAAGCTCCCGCCTGAGACTTCCTCGCAATTCACTCACAGACGAGGCTCCCGCTAGATACTTCCTCCAGATTCACGCCCCAGGAGCCCAAAAGTGACGACAGTTACAGGATCCCGATGACCCGCCTCGGATTAGTAAGATGATCTGCGGGCCCCATAGGGAGAGGCTCCCGCCTGAGACTTCCTCGCAATTCACTCACAGACGACGCTCCCGCCTGATACTTCCTCCAAATTCACGCCCCAGGAGCCCAAAAGTGACGACAGTTACAGGATCCCGATGACCCGCCTCGGATTAGTAAGATGATCTGCGGGCCCCATAGGGAGAGGCTCCCGCCTGAGACTTCCTCGCAATTCACTCACAGACGACGCTCCCGCTTGATACTCGAGTGAGTGACGGACTGACTGAGTGATGTGTGACGCCAACGGATGATATCCTCATGTGATGATCATGATGAGTGAGTGAGTGAGTGAGTGAGTG